TTTGTCACTCATTTCAGAAAGTGAAACCCATATATTATATAGATTCATTACACATAGAGTGAAATATTTCAAGCCTTTATTTCTTGAAATTTTGATGATTATGGCTTACAGATAATGAAAACCCAAAATTCAGTGTCTCAGAAAATTAGAATATTGTGAAAAAGTTCAATATTGGAAAGTCATGGTGTCACACCCTAATCAGCTAATTACCTCAAAACACCTGCAAAGGTTTCCTGAGCCTTTAAATGGTCTCTCAGTCTGGGTCAGTAGGCTACACAATCATGGGGAAGACTGCTGACTTGACAGATGTCCAGAAGACAGTCATTGGCACCCTCCACAAGGAGGGTAAGCCACAAAAGTTCATTGCTAAAGAAGCTGGTTGTTCACAGAGTGCTGTATCCAAGCATATTCATAGAAAGTTGAGTGGAAGGAAAAAGTGTGGTAGGAAAAGGTGCACCAGCAAAAGGGATAACCGCAGCCTTGAGAGGATTGTCAGGCAAAATCCATTCAAGAATTTGGGGGAGCTTCACAAGGAGTGGACTGAGGCTGGCGTCAGCGCATCAAGAGCCACTACGCACAGACGAATCCTAGACATGGGCTACAGTTGTCGCATTCCTCGTGTCAAGCCACTCCTGAACCAGAGACGACGTCAGAAGCGTCTTACCTGGGCTGTGGAGAAAAAGAACTGGACTGTTGCTCAGTGGTCCAAAGTCCTCTTTTCAGATGAAAGTAAATTTTGCATTTCATTTGGAAATCAAGGTCCCAGAGTCTGGAGGAAGAGTGGAGAGGCACAGAAACCATGCTGCTTGAAGTCCAGTGTGAAGTTTCCACAGTCAGTGATGATTTGGGCTGCCATGTCATCTGCTGGTGTTGGTCCACTGTGTTTTCTGAAGTCCACAGTCAACGCAGCAATCTACCAGGAAATTTTAGAGCACTTCATGCTTCCATCTGCTGACAAGCTTTATGGAGATGCTGATTTCATTTTCCAGCAGGACTTGGCACCTACCCACACTGCCAAAGGTACCAAAAGCTGGTTCAATGACCATGGTGTTACTGTGCTTGATTGGCCAGCAAACTCGCCTGACCTGAACCCCATAGAGAATCTATGGGGTATTGTCAAGAGGAAGATGAGAGACACCAGACCCAACAATGCAGACAGACCTGAAGGCCGCTATCAAAGCAACCTGGGCTTCCATTACACCTGAGCAGTGCCACAGGCTGATTGCCTCCATGCCACGCCGCATTGATGCAGTAATTCATGCAAAAGGAGGCCCAACCAAGTATTGAGTACATAGAAATGAACATACTTTTCAGAAGCCTGACATTTCTGTTTAAAATATCCTTTTTTTATTGATCTTATGTAATATTCTAATTTTCTGAGACACTGAATTTGGGGTTTTCATTATCTGTAAGCCATAATCATCAAAATTTCAAGAAATAAAGGCTTGAAATATTTCACTCTATGTGTAATGAATCTATATAATATATGGGTTTCACTTTCTGAAATGAGTGACAAAAAATATTGACCTTTTTCATGATATTCTAATTTTTTTAGATGTACCTGTATTTTCTAAATGCATCTTATCGGTCTTATCAATCACAAGCAAGCATTCAGATGAATAGTACCAAGTCTCCGTCCTACATTTTTTTTCAGACGTGCGTCACATTATGTAAGAAAATATGAATCTTGTTACAGCGTGACTTTAAGACAAACAATAAGACTAAAACTGTGCAGTTGAACAGCTTGACAGAATGACTTCGTTAGAAAAGGTCAAGAACAAGAAGAAATGCGAGGAGAAGGATACAGCACTGGCGTGATTTATGCCCACAAAGACGGCCACACAGCGCATCACGTTAGACCACTCTCTCTTGAGCTTATGCGGCTCCCCCAGACGACGATCCATACAGGGATACAGCAAACCTATCAACGCTGAAAAAAGAAGAATGGCATTTAATCGACATCACAGATCTCACAGACCCCATATACTGTATATATACTGTCTTGAGAACGACAACAGCATTTGTTTGTGTGAGAATCCTCAGTTATGACAGAAGCAGTTCAGACAATCGTAATATGTCGTGTGTGTGTTTGTGTACCTGCGGCTGTTCCACAGCAGGGAGGAACCCACCAGGCGGAGGAGAAAATGCTGCTGATGACGTCTGGAGGGAAGAGAGTGACGTTACGCTGCACCTGTAGCAGGTTTAGCACGAGCGCTAGAAACACGCCCACCATAAAGAGCATGGCAGCACGGATCAGCAAGTTCATGGTCCGGTTGGTGATCCTGCTGATGTAGGGCCCGCGGCGCATCGGAGCACCACCGCTCAGAAGGACGTCAGCTGACATCACACACCTGGAAAGGAGACGGTAATAATAATGATGATGTCTGAAACCCAGACATACCTGATTTCACAATATTAATCATATAGCCAAAACTGAATGACCAAAGAAATTGCGTAACTGTGAATAGAATTCTTTGGGCTTTTTGTGCATATGACATATAATTTATTCTACAATTTATAGCACATTTCATTTCAATTAATGATAAATATATATATATACTTTTAAAGAAAAATCCTATTTTATCCATTAAGGGAAAGAACATTATAATCTTGTACAAATATTTTGTGCACCTTATGTTTCAGTTTACTTGAAATTGCCTTGATAACCCTTAAATTACAGTTTTTGCTATGAGTGGGTCTTGAGTTCAAAATAATTAATTAAGGCAACATTATCTATATGAAATTATTTCTAATTCTACATACTTCAGAAAAATTAGTTTTTTTGTTTTACTGAATTAAATTTTAATTTAAGAAAATATTTTATTTTGCTCAAGTTCTATCAACTATGTTATCTGATCAAACAACCCCCTGCAACTAAAAATGGTTTATCACAAGACTTTTTGTATTTGATATAACTTTTTGAAATTTTGAACACATTATTGTATAATATACGTGTCCTTTCATTTGTTTGTTTGTTTTTTCCCCCCTCAATATTTTATCTACAATAACCTATTATCAAATAACTGCCCGTCAATTATTTTGGGTACATTGTTATGAATTTACATACATTTACTTAAGACTTAAATTCACCAGCTTCAACATTATTATTAACCTGTCATTTTCAATGACAGGCCTCATCTGGACAACCACATTTTGTTTTCTTGATCGGGTTAACCCCAAATTGAAATATATATATATATATTCCCAAAATGTGGTTGGCCAGACAAGGCCTACCATTGAAATTATGAGTCAAATGGTGAAATTGCAAAACTATGTTACTGTCTAAGTTACCCTAACGAGCCGTTTCTTGAATTACATAATTTTCATGATCATACTGTGTGACTGTATCCAGTGATAATAATGAATTGTTTGCATTTTTTTCAATCATAATTTAACCTTCTACGTGTTAGAGAAGAGTGAGTGTGTTCATGAGCTAGCAATGTGCGCAATAGTTAACAAACATGGTTTGTCGGTTTTTAAAGATTATTGCTGAAGGGTTGCGAAGTGTGTAGTGGCATACTGTCTGATTTTAACATACGTTGACAAACTAACTAGGAAAACATCCACTCTATTGTATTACCAAAATGGTGTTTAACAATTAAGCTGGACTAATAGCAAATATGTGACCCTGGACCACAAAACCAGTCATAAATAGCACGGGTATATTTGTAGCAATAGCCAACAAAGGGTCAAAATGATTGATTTTTCTTTTATGCAGAAAAATCATTAGGATTTTAGTAATTATTATTAGTAACCATAAATATATCAAAACTTAATTTTTGATCAGTGATATGCATTGCTGAGAACTTCATTTGAACAACTTTAAAGGCATTTTTTTTTTTTTTTT